TTTTTGGTTGAAGGGGGAAAGTGAAACACTGGTAAATACCTAGGAAGAGAATTAACCATGAACTTTTCCTCAATCATCATTCTCGCTATCTACGGCCCTTATTGTCTTAATTGTTATTGTCATAATTGTTTCATGGCCATCGCCTCAGCGGTCATAATTTTTTTCAGGCTACTTGTAAGGCCCTGATTACGTTTGTGTGTTTTTTCTCACTGAACTTACTTCTAATTCTTCTCGAGGCTTGGTCCCTTGTTTTCTTGCCTTCGTCGCTGTTATTTTACCGTCAGCTGGACAGGTGACGGTTCCGAGATGTCTCAAACTTTCACACAGACAATATGCTTTGCACTTTTCCTGTAAAAAAGAAAGCCAATGGTTAACTAACATTCAGTCTTCCAGTCGCACGGAAGCACATATGAGGACTGCAAGAAAAGCAATTAGTCTCGCTTTAATAAGTTCTCAACGCTAAATTTGCCTTTGAGTTCAGGTTCTAAAGCTGTAGGACATGGTACTGCATTATTCATAAAAAAAATACGCCCACTTACACCCACGCCAGGGTCAATATTTTGGCTTGTGCTTCATGAAATTATCACTCGCCTAGGAATTTTTCTTGAAGGTCGCCGAATCATGGAAAATGGACACTCGTCTGTCAAAGGTGTGTCCGAGATGAGTCACTGTAGAGTTTGTTTTCTATCAATTCTGTGCTGAAGTCAGGAGGACTGAGTCTTTCAATGAAAGGTTGGTAACCAACTATGACATCATAATGACATTGCTCTAACCCACACCATTGTTTGAATGGAGAGAAACACAAGGTGGCTTTTATTTTAGGTGACGATTTACTATTAATACGAGAACAGATGGTGGTACTACCCAGGGTTCCATACGGATCGTATTGCAGGAACTGGAGTAGCCAGTTGGAATCGACAAGCACGTCCGTAAAGAAGCTTTATCATGAAAACATGCCCTGGTAGAAGAGGCCCCAAGTCTGAACCAGCTTGCACCATTGTTGCATTGTTTCGGTTTACAATTTTGAAGTGCCCACGAGGACAGTATTGAGAAGAAGGGAAAAAAGAGATTCTATAAATAGCCCGATTTGTCAAAAGCTGCTTCAAGAATATGTCAAATCAGTTTGCTTGGTCTGGCTCACATGTTTTAAGCTGTGGAACACTGATGTGAAAAGAATAACCTGAGAATTTCCTAAATATTCAACCTTTTTGAGAATTTCAAATTGACAGACTTTGCAACCTAACAACTACAAACTTCTGTAAATGTTATCACCTGGCTTGGTAGCTACGTTTCACACGACTCTTAAATTTATCAGGTGAACATTCAATGGGGCTAATTTGCCATATTGAAAAAACTCACGCACCCGCCTATTTGGAACCGTTTGAGTGATCTTATAACCATTAACCAAATCTGTTATCGGTCGATATATTTGCGAAGAGCATTTGGCTTAACCAAGTCGGATAGTGGTTTAATTATAGTTTGAAATATTGGATCACAGAGTTCTTTAATTTATTGTAAGGTGTCGTCATATTAAAAAATAGAAATGTTAACTCTCTCCTACATGCAGTTTCTGATGAAAAAAACACCTACATTTGAACAAATAACAGAGAAGAATCGTTCTCTTTATGTAACTGCCATTATTTTTCTTCGACAAGGGTTTAGCTTATTTCTACCGAAAGCAATTGCGAGTTTGTTAATAGAAACGTAACCTCACCATGGTAAAATAGCTAAATAGAAATAAGATCTCTCACAGCAACCTTAGTACACATTGGAAAACAGCATATCTCTAAAGGAAGTTTCTGTGCCGATGTGAATAATGACTTACTTGTTTTGCACCGTAAGGCCTCACTCTTCTATGGCTATTTGGCCATTTCTTCACATCCTTAAAATTTTGACCAAAGGCCTAGCAAACTGAGCGTGCAACTGTCAACAGAAAAACGACAACGGAAACATCAGGTGCACCTGGCTTAAGCAGAGTGAGCAGAATACACGATCACTCAGAATAAAATGAACACAATAAATTTGAAAGAGAATATAAACAGATGTCTGTAGCACAATATTACACACGTGAGTCTACGTTCCGGGATCTCTGTAACTCGTCCATAGTCAAAACCTTTTTTCAGTATGTCGCAGGTTGTAAAACGATATCTACGATTTTAGACTCGTTATACGTCATAAAGCTTGTGTTTTCCTAGTCGAGTTGTGGGCTTCTTTCTCAGTAATGCTTGCGAGCGTCAAGGAAGTGATTGCACTCGAAACTAATATAAATGGATACCGGCTTAAGCCATAATTATGTGCATAATTAACAGGAGGTGTTTTGAATTAGACCTTAGACGGGAAGTTAAATTGTAGAGTTGTGGTGAAAGGCGGTTTCAGTTCAAAGTACGGCTGATCATATTTAGTATCTGATGTCTAATGATGTTTAGATAATAAAAAAGGCTGGTATTGGCCTCAAAATACACTTGCCTCGTCAATTAAATTGCGTTTGTACCAGACTAGTTTTCTCTGATCTTTCCGGATCTTATGCTCGTCGCTTGTTTCATTTCGAAAAGCTTTAAGCGTCAAGAATGATTCATATCTAAATTCTCCCTACAACTCGATACATTTTCAAGCAGATAGGTAATGAGAATTAAGAAAATCATCAAATCGGGGACATTATGATCACGGCCCGGCCGGCAGAACGAAAACTAAAATATTCACAATTTCGACTCAGTCAAAAAGATTTTTTTCTTGGTCTCCAAAGCCGGGAGTTAAATTCTTCAGGCCGTAAGCTTTCTTTCGTGAATTTGCAAGCGAATCAAAATAGTAACTATGACAGACCGATAAAATATATCGGCCAACATCAAGGGCTTAAAAAAAACTTGAGTGAAATGAATGACCATGAATTTCCTTGTTGAGTTAAGAAGAAACAATGTTACAATGAAGCAAGCACTAAAAGCAAAGTAAAGCGCTTTTGCTTTTTAAATCATCCATTTCTAAAGATAACAAAGCACGTTCTTATGTACTTGAAATATCGGTTAATAAAAATTTTTCCCTGCAGGTGGTAGATGAATAATATTTTAACTAAACCTAAAGAAATTTCCTACCTTCTGGCTGTCGTTAATGGCTAGCTCTTCGGCAACGACTTGCCACAAGCTACTTGTTTATGTTGTGCTGATGTGTCGCCTGATTTGTAAACAAAAGCTGCTACTACTTCAAGCGGTGGGTCCACGTTCAGACAAATTTATCTCACATTAAATGACCCACGCCAACGTACGTGCGATGCATGCGATATCACTCCTTATCTCCGGGTCACGTGACCACGCTTCAACATGTTTTGGAGACGACGTGAGAAAAAATTGATCAGTTTTTTTTCTTTCCTTTTCAGTTTGTAGACAACAAATTATCATAGGAGACATAACCTACAGATTTCATTTTGTCTTTGTTGTTCAGTTGAACTATGAATATTCGTTGTGACACTGTTGAAGACAATTTTAAATCTTTTGTTTATTAAAATATAGTGGGTGGCTGAGTTAACAACTGACTTGAGAACAAGCTAAAGGAGTAAAAACATAGCCTGTAAAAACTCTATGCTACATCAAAACAGGTTTCCTGATGATGAAGCAAGAAAAAATAAATAAAATAATAATTTTAGTTTTGGAAATTCTACAAAGGCAATTAAGCCTACCGATCAATATTTTCACTCCTATTTAATTGAGTTTACTTGCTTTAGAAATCGCCACAGACACATGGAAAGTTCCAGATTACCGCTTTACTCAGGTGAACGTGAGGTCTGAAGTAAAGACTAATCAGCGAGTAGTTTCTCCTCCTAACTGTCAATACATAATCCAGTATACAGGTCAGGAGAATTAAAAGAAATGATCTCGAACTAAATAGTGACCAGTGCGGATAGTTCGCCGAGATGATGACAGCCTCTTAAAACAGTCTGAGGATAAACGTGATTGCAAGGCCTGTTCAAGCTGGATTTAATTGAATACATAGACTACATGCAGTAGATTGTAAAAGTTTGTAGCTTAGTGGTTACTAAAAGTTGGGAAATAATTATTTCACTTTTACTACGGTGTGATTCCAAATGACGGCCTCGCTTGATTTTCAGAACTGAAATTGTGGTTCGTTTTTTAACCTGATATTTGTTCTCTATACGCGACAAAGCCGTTTAGTCGATGTCGACAGATATCGGGTTCACTACACTGATCAGAGTCGGCGGAATGTGTCTTGATTGGTACAATACGTGTTGTCATTTTTTTTTTTACACCTGCCCGAGCAACGCGCCGTAAAGGCACTACGACAAAAGTTTAGCCTAAGTTTTTCAAGTTCGTCGTTTGTAATCCGTGTTAATCTTCTCCACCCCTAAACCATCCTTGTTCCTTTATGGTTTATTATCATCTCCGAGTCTTTGGTGTTTTCCTATCTTAGTAAACTACTATTTTCAGGTTTCCTTCAATTTAAAGGTGATTCTGTACATGGCCACAATAACTCAAAATACCGTGACTGCGCTCCTTCAAATCCTTATGATTTTCACTGTGCATAATTTAGAAATTTGAGGTCACGCGTAGGCCGTACTGAGAACAAGAAAGCGACTCTGGTCGTTCTACAACCTTTTCACTGCTGGGTCGATCCGTTATATCTGGCGGTTAGTTATGCCGGCCGCGAGGGTTTGCATTGTAACTCGCTAAGAAACCAAAAATCCATATAATACTATAGCAATCAGAGCTCTCGGAGTTCAGTGCTGGCTGACTGATCAGTTTTGTACAGCTCCTTGTTTAATTGCATACATTGCTTCAATAATTAAGTAGAATGATTGATCTGTCGCTTCCACAAAACAGGAAGAACCTAGCATCACGATTCACTCTTTTCTGGGTCGTTACCGGTCATCAGATTTAGCTGCGCCGGAATTCAGTCGGCTCCCACATGTATCAATCTCTTATTAGAAGCGTTTCCCCGGCGCTCAGCACCCGATTGTTAGACTTCTTCCACTTCATACTTCACACAGATTTGATGCTACTCCGATTGATACCGTTGGTTGAATCCAGGGAATAGAAGAAAAGGCCTGGGGGTCACGTATCTCTGGGAATCTCACCGTACCGGTCTCCCAAACATTGGCATTGACAAGCGCTATCAATGCAAGCACTGGCATTGGCAAGCGCAATTTTTTAAAGCAGCTTACACAGCGAACAGTTGCTAGCTCCATTTTCCCTAGTTTGAGAATCGACGGCGGATCCGCCAATCTGCCAAAGGATAGCTAAATCTATGCCGACTGGAGGGTAAGCTAATAACACACGTTACGAGATCAAACGCGCAGCATGCTAGTGAAATTCGAAAGGGCAGCTCGACAAAATGACAAATCTAGTGTGAAGAATTATTTACAGCCCGCTTATGGCAAATCAACAAAAAATCTTAAAAAGTGAATAAACCTAAAACGATTTTTTTACCTGTTGTATATAGCCCCAATCTTCAGTCAACAATCTCGCTCATAATTAGTCAACACCTTGTTTTCAGTTACGTGCGAAAATAATGCAAATGACTGCTACCGAGTGTTGTGGTCTGTGAAATAAAATTTGATCTTTCAGACAGGTTTATTTTAACCATGTTATTTGTGTAACCACTTTGGCATGTGAGGTACATTAATATTATTGATGAACACGTTTTGCCGAGTCTGAAAATGTCAGAAATGATGTTAGCATGTTTTCCGGTCACGTCTCACTTATCATACGCAAATTCGCCTTCAGCCAATCAAAAACTTTCGTCTGGTGTGTGCTCTACTTCCGTATCAAAACACCAATTTGATCTTCTGCAATATTTTGGTCGAAATGTTTCCAAATTACCGCCAACTGCAAACCAGTGAATCTATACATGTTGAAGATCATGGGGGTTATTTGTTTAGCGTACGCGAGGAAAAGCAAACAAATTTCCCTCCAAAGTAGAAACCGCGGCTGCCTCAAGACAGTTAGCGTTTCCTCTTTGATTCCTCTTTGTTTGTGTCTTTTTAGTGTTATGTCAAAAACCCGTGGGGGAGGGGGAGAGGGACTCCCATATGAAATGGTTCAGAGCTGCTTGTCATCTCGCTTAGGAGTGTAAATCAAGGATTTTGGTTTCACTTAGGGTGTTGTTGACGAAACGCTACTAGTTTAAGCTGTCAAAGTATCATATAGGGTGCACTAGGAGAGATAATAATTCAAAAACGCTCTCAATTCCGTTTTTGGCTCGATTTCCGCCGGTCTCTCGAGTCCGGCCTACTAGCGCGGGCTCCTTTCCTGAACAGCGGCTGGTTATCACGCCTATTCCGTTTAGGTGGTATCTTCTAGGAGTCAAATAAAGCCCTAGCCAAGCCCATATTGGTCTCCTATAGGGGTTTAATTCAAACTTTGCGACGAGCATCCCCGACCTTTTCATATGGCAGTCACCCAGGCATCAAAAAACAAACTAACTAGCGTTTGGCCACCTCTGTTCAGCAGATTAATTCACGCAAGCAGAAGCAAAGTGTAGCAAGGCGAGACGATAAAGAAGCCTTAAACCCTGCAAGACTTTATTTTCAATTACAACTTTGACAACCAAATGCAAGGTCAAGTTTACAAACACATCAACGTTTTCAAGACCGGACAAAGGTCTGGCACCACTTGTGAAAAATCATGTTTGTATCAACAGCATCCAGCCAAAAAAACAAACAATGGCTCGACCAAACTTCTCTGATGTTTGACGGAAACGTGCTGGGGTCACTCGATTTTAATGAACTGAAAATACATAACTCATCACATGTCAAGCAAGTGCGAGGGATCTATGACGTCTGACGATTGCAAGTTCTCGGAGTACAGCAAAATGACTGGGCGTGGTTAGAATTTCATGGAGACCGAAAATTTCGCGATATGGGTCAAGCAGAGGCCAAGCATAAAAACCAGTGAGAAAATAAAAGGACCTCTATCGGAATGAAATTGTCTGAATTAAGACTGAATAAACAAAGCTGCTGAGCGTGGGCTGAAAGCTTTACTTCTTTAAATCAATAAAACCACAGAACCACAATGAGAGCTGTTGGGTACTGACGGCGCCAGCAGTGAGAAGTTACATTTTGATGACTGAAATAAGCGTGTAATTTTCCTGTATTTTTTGTGGTATTTTTTCTTTAAGAAACAAAAACAGACTACCCAAAGTCGTAATCTTAGAGAAATGATCCCTTATTTTTTTTTTTGTAACATACCGAAAAGCGAACACTACGGTTGGATAATAGGGCTCAAAAGCTTAATTTGATCCGAATCAGGTCACACACACACCATAAGCTTTCATTCACAAAAGTAAACTTCAGATGTGCCTTGTAATTAAGAAGTAGAAAACATGTTCTGTGTTTCTATCTAGTTTTTAGTATAAATTTACTGGCGTTCTATCACGAATGCCGATTGGCTACGCTACTCAACATCTATTCCGTTTAAGTAGATAGTGAGTAGCATAGCAGTGTACGGTTGTAAACAAAATGGTTGAATGGCGACTGCTTCTTAGCGTTTTAGAGGTGTCCGTAAAGAGGATTTAGTTTAAGTTTTGAACTACTAGTAGATTTGTAATAAAACAATTAGATTATTCACTCTCGATTTCTATGCGTGATGGTTGACGAAGGCTTAGCTCTCGTCAACTATCACGCGGTAGAAATCTCGAGCTCATAATCTAATTGTTGAATAGAACACCACATGTAAGTACTACTCGATAGGTCACATATTTATTTAAACTGTCGTTTAGAAACAAGAACCACCCCAGCCTAGCACTGCTCTATAACTGTCATGACATACCAGGACTTCATCTGTGCCTGCTAAAACGCGGTGAAACGAAAACAAAATAATTTCTAACTTAGTACAAGAAAGAAAACAACGAAATTACTAGTCACATTGGAGGGTGCATCTTGTTTATTGATCAGACAAAAATAGCAAACATAAACGGCCCTAGGATACTTATTAAAACAACAAATGTTCTAAACAAAAACAAGGAAATTTTACGAAAACAAAATTTCCAGAATGAAGTGATCAAAAGCGGGGATGCCATCAAGTGACAACTCCTACCGGACAAACTCCTTGAATATCAGCTTCTAAGCATAATTACGTAGCCTGCATACCAACGAATCTACGGCACACAACTATCTTACAATAACAACGTGAAAAATCATATGTTCAGGGGAATAAAAGGGACAAGTGAAATTATGACAAAAAAGCAACCTCGGCTAATTAAACGGAAACGAAATTTCTTTTCATTACAAGAAATAAAAAACAGATCGTTTTTGGTCCGTAAGTCAAGCGTTTTAGGTTCTTGATTACAGAGAAACAAATATACAAGCACAATGCTGCATGAGCGAGCAGAAATGGGCAGTTAATCGTTTATCTTTTGTTACAATTTATAAAAAGTATGACAATGGAAAGTTTGAGTTCCGGAATAATCTCAATACATGTACACATTTTAAGTCTTATACAAAAGTGTTTCTGAGTAAAGGCTTTTTATTAAATTGATTACTGCGGTAAGTAAACATCATTCGGCTAAAGTATCAAAGCTTTAGAAAAATACAAGACTTGGTTAAATGCCTTACCTATACATCGTCTACTTCATTTTTGGGCGTAGATGATTTCGTCAGTTTTAGGAAATTTTCTTTGGCAGACTATAATTAAACAAGAGACGATGATCATCAGGAGCTCATCACTAGGAGCGTGCAACTACCCCATATTCCTGTCACGGCGTTTTCACAGACCGATCTATTTTCAGTTTCAATTTACCGCGAATTCAGATCCCCGCAGGAACCTCAGTGACCAATCACAAGCAAGGACTTAAATCTTAACTGACGTCATCATTTCACCGGAAGAAGTGATGGGCTCCCTGATGTGAGGTAAGCCATTTTATTCCTTACCGATGCGCGCTTACGTAGACTGGAACTGACCTATAGGCGCGGAAAGAGAAGCCTAAAAATAGACCGGTCTGTAAAAATGCCGTGACATAGGCTTAGATGGGAGTTGCACGCCCCTAGTAATGGGCTCCTGTCATCATGCATTAGCCTGTGAACAGGTCCCACCCCATACCCCCCCTCGGTCACTTCACTTTCAACCAGTTTCTTCCCTGCTATTCCAGCCGCGGTCAGACCTACCCATCCGGGGCCTGTTCACAGGCTAATCATGCATGACCTCCCTGGCATAAGCCAAGAGAACTCATCGTTTGAAAAAACATAAGGTCACATAACCACACGGTTTATTTTCGGGTGATTTTGCGTTAGTATAATAAACCACTTGAGGTATGAAGTACTGCGATATCACTAGTTCTGCTTACCAATGACGTTTTCTTAGAATAATAATACCAAATTGCGCGTTTAAGTGACAAGTAATGCAGTTTTTAATGTCAGATATTTTGGAGGTAATGCTATGCTATATTCGGTCACACGCGTTGGATATTTTTCGTCGCTTTTCTATTTTGAGTTGTTTTGATCACGTACAAAATAACCTTTAAATTGAAGGAAACCTGAAAATAGTGGTTTACTAAGATAGAAAAACACCAAAGAGATATTAATAAACCACAAAGGAACAAGGATGGGGAAAGATGGGAGAAGATTGACACGGATCACAAAACGAAGAACTTGGAAAATTTTGGCTAAACTTTTTAAGATGCGCAAACTGTAACAGAGCTCCTTTAATGTGAATAGCGTGGAATAGCACAACCTATCATTGTCGAGGGTCTCAATCGGTGGTTACCTTCGACAGTTGACGGTTAAATTCCCGTTTTTTGAGGCTTACGGTAACATTTGTCCTTATTTGAGTGTAAACTCCTGGTAAACTCCTTTGAGAGCCTCGCTGTTCCGTGTGCTTGGATGCAAAGCTAAGATAGCTCGAGTAACGAGTATGACTAATTATCCACGGTAAAGTTAGAAGTTGTCCATACGCGTTTATGCGAGAATTTATACCAGACAATGAATAAAGTTGAAACTGGTAGCAATAGCTTACACGCCATAGATCGTAAAATTACAACGACTTCAGTTCAAATAAAAATGAAATAAAGTAACTTACTTTCAGCTCCTGGTAGTTTTCTCTTCAAAAAATCCCCTCTTTGCCTTGTCTTGAGATAACAGGTATGCTAATAAACATTATTATATTTCACCTGTGGAATAAAGCAGCTATATTATAGAAGATTTTTAGTAAAATTCTATTTCCAGAGCTCGAGAAATCAACAGAGATTGAAACATTTGATCAAAAGCCTGACGATTAACAAAGATGTGAACAAAAATGAATTGGATATAAAATCTAACTATTATTGTACCTCCCAAATCTTCCGTGCGATATCGTCGTAGACTGATATCACTATACCATGCCCAGCGAAGCAAATGTGTGTGTGTTATGCAAATGATCATCAATATAATGCGCCTGTGGAACAAAAGCTGTTCTTAGAGGTGGTGATACCACGCTTTCTGGTGTATTGTATTTCATATTAATGACTTATGTACGTGAGGTGCATACGAGATCACTTTGCTTATCACATTTGCTTGTCAGAAATACAAGTGCTTCTTCATACTCGTCCACAATAAAATAATTAACTATAGCTGGTGTTTTTGTCACCAGTTTTTATGACACGAAGATTGCTTAAGCTTCAAAGGTTGCTATAAATTTAATCATGTGCCGGCGATTTCGCCGAGGAAATCCCAAAACTACAGACTGAAACCTCGGCAACACTACGCCGGAGAAAGACGAAAACGTAGCTTTATTTCGACGGTTAGGCCTACCGTCCACACTAATCCGCCACGAAAACAGAGTTTTTCGTAAACGCTCTTCAAACCGGAGGATCTCGAAAACGCCGGGTTTGCGTTTTAGTGCGGAATGAAAACATTTTAAAGAAAAGCACAAATCTTCTCTAAAACTTTCTTTTTCGCCATAGATCGGTCCAATTGACCATTCTTAGTCGCTAACGAGCAAAATTTGGCTCGATGAAGGATTTCATACATTTCTGGTTAAAAACGGAGCTTTTCGAAAACGACAACCATGCAATTTCCGTGGCCGAGTTTTCCTCAAACACAAATCCAAAATGGTCGGTGATTGTTGCGTTTTCAAATTTCTCCGGCGTAGTGTGACGAAAAATATTTGAAGCGTTGTCGGAGTGAAAACGGTGTTTTTAAATTTCACCGGCGTAGGGTGGACGGAGCCTGACTGAATATTGACACTGCTAAGAATCGAATACTGTAATTATCAGCCATTCGGCAAATGGCTAAATTGTGTTCGTTTTCAGGGGAGGAAAACTGACACTGTCTAGAAATTAGTGAAGAGATTCGGATGCCAAACTTAATGGACCTTTGGAATTCGCAACCAATCGTCGATTGAGTTTTGTCCTATTTACACTATTTAATGTTTGTCCCCTTCGCCTTGCATCACAACCTTAGCCTGCATCAAGTGTCCCGTTTGTTGGGTAGTAATGCAAAGAACTAGCTAGCAAATGAAAACAAGAAAAAAAAACTAGCAATGATCCGACGAATCTATACTGATCCCTAATTGTGTTGGACAACCGAAAAAAGAAGAAGCAAATTTAGTTTGATTAATATATCGACGTCGCTGCCTATCACTTCATTCACACAATAATCCCTGTAAGTAAAGCCACTCAAATTTTTAAGAGGAGTTAAACGGCTTTTTTGATCGACCCCGAAAAATGCTTTGCGGCAAGAGAGGCCGCCATCTTGAATTTGACCCAGAGACGAAAGATCTTGGGAACGAGGGTAACGGTAAAAACCGCCGTCCGACCAAACGGAGGCGCACATCTAAGTACGAGAAGAGCTGGGCGTCGAGCATGGTTACTAGGCAGCATTGTAATTTAGTACCCAGGACACTGCTCACCCCAGCACCAAGTTTTTTGCCAGATGCAGCTGCCTGTTTTAGTATTCCTAATACGAATTAAATGTGGAAAAAACTTCTCATGTGCTGAAAGGACATTAATATCACTGCACATCCACTTCCTGATACGCCACGAGTTAATAAATGCCCCGATGCAAGGTATGGACAATGCTAAAAAAAATTCTATTTTAATTTACAGCCAGGTCGATTCATTTACCGGGCCTAAAAACAGAACGGAAACTGTGTTCAAGTGTCGTTTGTTAAGGACAATGAAAATGCGGTCAAACGATATGATCGACTTAACATCATAAGATTATTCAAATTCTCGTTCGAACAATTAGAGCGGTCTAACGACCTCTCAACTACAGCGACTAAGAAGAAAAATATAGAAATCTTACCAAAGTTACCCGAAACCCGATCTATATTACTAGCCAAAACGTTGCGGGTTTTCAATTCGGATATCGTAAATATAATTTTTGGGCCCTCAGGCATAATGTTTATCGCATCCGATTAATACCACCAAAAGATGAAGGAATTAACTTGGCCTTATAGATATTTAGAGTAATATCATTATTCTACAAACTCTTCAAGAAAAAGCATTTTCATTTATGTGGGGCCAGCGAATTCACCTCACATTTAAGAGAAAAATATGCACTTCTACGTAAGAGAGACAGGTTCTTTTGTCGACGTCTGTTATTAAATTCAAATAACTGGTTCGCATTGTTTGTTTGACACTTGCTTATGTTAGAAGGTTTTTCTACATCGCAATAAATAATAACGCCCTATGATATTTGAAAGATTTTTGTTATTTTTGAGATGCTGACTGATAAACACGTTAACGATCTTCATACATATACGTTGTTAAGTTTTTTGTTACATTTTGATAGGAAATGACATGTCGTTGACGTAAAAGGTTTATCTGAAACACTTATCGTCTGGTTGTTGAATAACCATGGGATATTGACTGATAAACACGTCAAATGAAAATCATACTGAAAAGTTGTCTTTTTCATTTTGCATTTTAATCGGAAATGAAATGTTATTGACGTAAAAGGTTTATTTGAAACACTTATCATCTGGTTGTTGAATACCCATGGGACACTGACTGATGAACACGTCAAATAACCGAACAACCATACTTAAAAGTTGTAATTTTTTTGCATTTCAATCGGAAATGAAATGTCATTGACGTAAAAAGGTCTATTTGAAACAGTTATGGTGAGATCACCCAGCCAACCCCAATTGTCTGTTGTTGTGGCTATTATTTAGTCGATCGTTGCTATAGAGACTAAGTATCCTTGTTAGAACATTTCCTCTGTTGTTAAACAAACGGTTAGCCGGCAGCTAGCGCCATGTGAACTTAGCAATTTCCTCATTGCCAAACACGCCATCTGTACTTTTAGAGCACCGGAGAAAAACGTGATCAGAAAACAACAAAACGTGTTGTCCACACCCACAAGTCGCTAAAATCAGTGTAAGGCTAAGGAACTCATGCCAACTTGGTAGAGACTATGCTCAAGCAATTATTCGGTTACTTAAAAATTTACTCCGAGCTCCATCAAAAGGAGCATCACTTTTAAATAAAAACTTTTCTTCTCCACATTCATCAAGCGTATGATTTAGCATAATTCGACATCGTGCAGCATAAAATGATTTGATACAATCTAATAAAATCTAAGCAAATTTACCGTAATGGCGTTTCAGGAAATGCAGCCACCTCAGCCTGTTTCAATTTTCCTGCGGATCTAGTCTTGAAGCGATGAAACACGTCTTGTAGAGTTCTCAAATCGTTGAAATCATCGACTAGGGAACTTCGATAAAAAAAATTCGGTATCGCGATGACATAAAAATAACGTTGATTTTGATATCTTATACGTTAGAAGTGGCTATCCCAAGAATTTTTGTGGTGGATTCAGTGACCATTGTCTGATATAAAGACAGTTTTAACCGTGATTACTTGCACGTTCCCGGAAATGTGTCCCTTCAAGTCTAATGAAACAATTGATAATGGAAAATACTTTTCACCATGTATACAAGCGCTATAATGAAAGGCTTGATCTTTTTATGACTAAAAGGAAATAAAGCTAAAAAAAGTAGTTAGATAACTTTTTCTGTCGCTAATTGGGGCTGTAAAACTACATTTTCAAACCTCACGTTTTGTGGTGGTTTATGATTCATGACCAAGTCAGACAAATGTCGATATATGGCGTTTACAGTCTGGGATGCCATGAGTTCACCAACTGTATATGCCGTTTGTTTTTGATGGCGGCTTTTGTTTCTATCTCGCATTGTCTATCATTGTCAATCAAGTGGATTTTTTGAGTTCAAATCGTGACAGCCTTTTACCGATATAGCAATGAGATAGCTGGCAGACCACACTGGGGTACACAAACAACTCTCACTACAGTAGTTATCTACTACAGCTCGCAAATGCACTGATAAATGACTTTAATGATATATAGCAGCTTAGCTATTTCTGAAGGCCAACGTAATCATCCTTTTAGGCAGTAGTTTGTTCACTCCTGTCATTTCCCCTGTTTTGATCACTTTTTATCAGTTTAGTAATTTCTAGAAAATTTGGAGTTATTTTTCCTTATGATCTCCACCGCCATTGTCAGGGGCGTGGCACCAAAAAGTAAAATGTTGCGTTAGCACTCGAAAAATGAACGTGCGGTCAAACATGTCCCTTAGAGTGATTTCCAACAGCACAAAAAGAAGAAAAACTCAGTTGTCAGAATGTTCTGACATCTACCACAGCTCAAGGAACGAGTTTATTATATCTCGAATTTTGTCTATGATTCCGAAAGGCAAAATATCACATTAACGAGCGAGAAAAGGGCGTGCGGTCAAACATGTCCCTTAGCATCAAAAAACCGATGAAAAAAGAACACTTGTTTGAATAAAAATTATGTTCTGACAACGCATAATTCAACGAAAAAGTTAATTACGTCTCGAATTTTGGCCTGGATTCTTATTTCAGTTATTAAAAGCAAAATTCCACTGGGTTTAGAATCTATCTTCAAACTAGCTCGAGTTATTTGCCTTCTAACCGTTTCCAAGTCCGCTCAACTTCTAATTTCTCTTGACAATATCATACATTTTGAGACAGGCAGGTGATGAGAGCAAAGGTAATCATCAACTAGGAGATATTGTCGATCTTGATGTAACACCAAATTCTAAGAACGAGCAATGAGAAAAATGTATGATAATCTGTATGGAGAATTAGCGTTTCGAGCCAAGTACTGAATGTGGCAAGGCTAAACGAACCTTACGCGGTTTTCAAGACTTCCACTAACACTGCTTACCGATAGCGTGTTGACTGACTGCACTGTGACTAATTATGCAATACACCTTATGCGATAGTTAAACATATTGCACGGATGTTTTAGTTTGCGAGTTGCGTGGAAATAAAGGAATCAAAAATACGAGCAATGAACAATATAATTTCATTTTCTAGTATTTGGGCTTCTAGTTTTTGAAATACATCCTGAATGATCCGAAAATCGTACCGATCGCAAAGGGAGCGTGCTAATGACGAACAATATACGACTCTACAGTGCAACGCGGGCTTATATTTTGCGCGTTCTCTGGCCTAATATGGTAAAAAGGGGTAATATATGGAATAATAAAACATTTTATATTCGAGTTCAAAACACAAGTACTTTATATTCTTGTCGTCTTGAAGTAAACAAATACTTCAAAAATCAATTGCTTGTTTCAAATGTTTACTTGTGAACCATCTTGGCTCAGATATATTGATTACAAAAAGTATTTGTCGTGGTCTTTATCATCTTTTAGTTAAAATTCTGGCAGCTTGACAATCAATCAAGACCCTTCAAAACAAGACCAGACTTGTTTTTTTAACGGTTTTCCGTGTGTTGTAGCACGATTTTTGCTGTAACAACACCGAGTATATCGGCTGTTCCCCACCCACCCCACCCCCGTTCCGCGTTTTGTCCTTGTTCGTTTTGTTATGAAGTACATAACGACGTTGCGGTTGAGTTTTAGAGAAAAATCAGGCTTGTCATCATAATCATTATTTTAACCTCCTTCAGCTTTTTTTGTTATGATATAAGCAATCAAAAGGGCGGTCTTTTCAACGGTAATAAGTCGCACCTCGGCAATTTGCTCAGCCTTTCTTGCGCATGTCAACGAATTTCGTGTTTACTTCAACTGGAAGTTAGAATTCAGTTGTTTGCGAAACAGGCCTAGCAGCTCCAAGAAAAAGCTAAAAAATATACGAAAGGTGAGCGAATAGTTAGAATTTGTCAACCAAAATCCTCAAAATCCCGAATTCCTTATCCAAAAGTTGACTTTCTTCTCCAAACGGAAAGGGTGATATTTGTAAATAATCACATACTTTCAAGTCGATGTCCCACAGGAAGGTTGTTTGGTGATCAGTTCAAAATAAGGTAGTTGTGGCTGGTCAACGCTGGATATGATTAATGGCGACTATTTTCGCTCAACTAAATGCACACAGCGACAGTGGTTTTAAAATCTCACCTTCTCCTTTCGGGCATTTTGGCAGATTTTCAATTTTCCACGAAGTCAACCATCGAAGACATTTTTAATCTTTCTATCGTTGTGGTCCGCCGCGCTGCTATTGCTATAACAAAAAAACCTAAAAATTTACTTGATTAATCTGGTCGACATGTGATTTTACGGTTGTAGCCCTAGAGTTATAGCCCTTTGGCTAAAGTTTCTATCAAATGTAGTTACTTCGATTTACGCATCTCCAAGAACTATAAAATACATTTTTGTATCGTCTGATACACTGGGTTCAATAAATAATACTTGCAGTTCAATTAGCTGGATTGAAACTGTTTCTGTATACTGCTTGTTCTTGCCACACAAAAGCTGTCGCCAAATTGCTAATCACCAGCATAATTTCATTGTCATTTAAAAACAGTTTGCTTTAAAACTGCTTTCCATATGTAATCCCACGTGAAACAACTAACCCAGTTAACAGACGTGTCCTCTGTCATGCACAACGGCTCTGCAACGAACTCAGAGGCATCTTGTCATAAGCTCCTTTACAGTGTTTCTAGTCTTTGCAAAATCTTAATATCGGTAGCGTCGTTTTCTCTTCGCAAGCGAACCAGTTGTCTTTTTGAATTTGTACAAAGAAGTTTAAAGTTGTAATCCTGTACAACTCTGCAAATACTGCTCATATCTAACTTTGACCCCAATGCCCCAAACCAAAACAACTGAGCAACTTACAAAGTAAAAGTAGATACAACTTCCGGTTTTTTTTGTAATTTTCTTGTAATTTTTTAAGTTATGTGAAGCTACTTGCTTTCTCGTCAGAATACGAAAACAAAAGTAGTAAACTCATGCCAAATTTGAATGAGATGTTGTCACGCAATTTATTCAACGAGTGACATGTTGACAGATAACGTGGTGAAATTGAAATTCGTGAAAAGTAATTTTTAGAGTAATTTTCTAGTAAACACGATCGTTTTCACTATGCGGATCACTCCAACATTTTGTGTACTGTCTCTTGTTACTATGTTACACTGACTTGACAAGGGACTCAAGAATTACCAATATCGTTTTGTTTTCGTAAAACCATTACCTGCTGAAGCACCTCCTAATCGTGCGCTGTCTCACGTCCATTTACTCGTGCCCAGTCTCCCAGCTTCACTTCAGTGTTTTGAGCCATATTCGAAGGAAGAATCTTTCTTCTTTAACGACTCAACCAAACTCGTTTGTTCATCCAGTTTATTGAAAGACCATCATGTATTCCAAGTTATTGTTGCAGCGAAAAAATATGGGAAGGCCGAGTGTAATTCACAATTCTAGAAGAAAACGTTTTCTTGTGATGCCGGCTTCGTCGCTGTCGGCCAGTCAAAGAAAAGTTCCAAACCGGGCCCATCGCTCAACGCAACTTTTCCTCCAAGCCATGATGTCCTCTGGTATGCTAACTTAAATTCTTATCTGTTAAATTTCGTTACATTTATCTTAAATATCAAGAATCGTCTAATTAGGATTTGTAATTTTATAGCCAGAGGTAGGCAATAATTTTTAGCCGGTAGAATCTTTACTCCGCGCAATTCGTTTCACGTGACAACCCGAACCGGCTATCGAACACGCACGTGCACTTCCCAACTGATAACGCGGGGCGGTAGCGTTTATCAGTTTTAGCTAGTTTGAAAGGGTTAACCTCTTAACCTCACTGATTTATGAAGCCAAAAAGAGAAAAAATATTTAAGCTAAATAAATAAATAAGGTAATTCCCATGTGGGTCGGTTTTCATACTTGCAAATTTTAATCGTGCCGGCTGAGTCCGACAAGGAAATTCATTTGACATGTGTTCATGCGAAACAGTTAAAGAGGAAAGTCGCTTAACCGCGTGCGTTAAAAACTCCCGGCTCGTGCATAATTTGTTCGCAAGAAAAACAAAAGAGAAAAGGGTCTTGATAGTAGTAGACAAGTAAATAATTTTAAGAAAACGACAAAAGGCTTGAGTTTACAAAATTAGCACAACTGAGGCTCGCTCGCGCAAATAATTACTTCTTGATGGTCTTAGCGGATCATCCGTTAAGATCTGATGTCAACTTACAAATTCATTTTACTGGTCTCAGTACCTTTCTTTGGTATTCGCTTCGAGAATTTGGACATAAATCAAGGCATTTTCCCCTTTCAAAATGTTTTTCTTTCTCACAACCTTCTTTACTCTTTGCCAAACGATTGCGATATTTTGATCAACATTTAAATGGTATTGGAGAAACTAATGCGAGAAAAGCTTTGCAAAAATTAAATGTAAACTTTGCGATAGCGTATGGCTATTTTGTTCTTTACCTCCTGTTATATTGGTCTTGTTTAGAAAATTCGCTTACAGGTCACTGGTTTTCCATGGTATCAACTCTGTGAGTTCCTAGTGGAGCAAATGACAGTCTTGTTGATGGCATGGGTTTTTCAGTCACACTCGTTCGCGCTAAAACGAAACAACAAAGATTTAAAAAGGTTTCTTATGAAGACTTTTCAAAAATGAACCAATCGCATCACTGTATGAGATAGTAACCATCTTCAGATGTTGTTTACAGTTTTGACCACGCAAGAGTCCATGACTTGCAGAAAATGAATCAGTACAATGATTAATATCAGGGGAGGGATACACTTCCACAGACAACTACGATCGATTTCTTTAACATAAATACCGCCATGTAATGACCAACCGATGGTAACTTCATAGCGTGACATATCAAAACAAGCTTTCGCTAAGTGAACGTGTTCATAAGCATGAACTCCTCATCAGCTTAGCTTTGACTCCACCTCTCTCTAGCTTCGCAGTCAAAGGAAAGTTTTAGTTCCCCATCAAACAGACTCAACAGTTTCTCGTCCATGTTATATACAAAATAATATTTTCCAAAATTTCTATTTTGTCACATAAGTGTGAAATGGGTTATCTTACTTTATAAAAATAATACCAATTTGGTACATTTCCTGATATTTATTTTATCGGAATATTGATTAACTTGACGGTCTCACGCGATCTCAGTCCAAGTCCGATAATTTCACGTGTTAGCAACGATCAACGGGAGCACAACCGTGTTACCTAGCACGTCCTGCGTTCATCTAGTTCCCAGTCTCTCAGCTTCTCGGCGGTGTTTTCTTCAATAAGTTGTGACTTTCATGGTGCTCGTTCTTCAGTTTCAATAGACCTCAAACAGAGCAACTTTCGCTCAGTTCGTCCCGAGATATCATCATGTATGCCAAGTTATTGCTACAGCGAAACAACATGGGAAGACCAAGTGTGATTCACGATGCAAGGAAAGGTGTATTTTTAAAACCGGCCCCGCCGCCGCGTCGAGTACAAGCATTTTCAAACCGAAGAAGTCGCTATACAGAGCTTTTCTTCAAAGCCAAGATATCTTCTGGTACGTCTAAAAATTTATCTCAGTGGTGATTTTCCTTGTTTAAACTGCTTTTCAACATGATGCGAGGAGGTCGCTAATGTTTTGCAGTGTTATCGTTGCCGTACAAAAATATTTTGACTAATTTGTACCTACCGGGTGCTTGGTCATCAGAAACGGGAATTAACTAAGGAACTTGCCATGAAAACAAATTGAACAGAATTGATATTGCTCGTTTATGATTTTATAGGTTATTTTATTTTCAACAGAAATGTTTAAATTTGAGCGACTATAGAATCTGCCCAGAATATGCTTTCTCAGTTGCAGTTCGTAACTACCACAAAGCGAACTAGGCGGGTTTCGGGAACTTGCAGCCCAACATGTGGTTGAAACGATATCCTTGCCTGCTTGGCAAACTACCACGAACATTTTTAGCAATTCTAAATGAGATATTTCTTTGGTAAAGACCTTTCATTTAATCAAAAACACCACCAAAACTTCTGTTTAAAAGGCTTTGTATGCTACTGGGATACAAAGAGAGGGATCGGCAATGTCCTTGTTTCGGGACGTACGTGGAAACCGGCACGATGGGTCCTGTGTGGGCTTATCCGGCAAACAACAGAAGGGAAACCCAATAAATACTTGCTACGAACAGCTGCGATCGGGCCCAGTGTTTGAAAATTTGGTGTGTTTGCTTTTTCGTTCATTTTCCTGAGGAAGGTCAGGATCGAAGATGTTCACTTTTTTTTGCCGGTGGCCAGCTTCTAGTAAACAGAACAGACATTAATTTGATAAACCTCCTAACACCTGAGATCAACAAACAAATTCCTCTAACCAATTTCAAGGCATTTGTGTATAGCATTTGTTGGGAGAACTTGAAAAACAGATCGACAAATTTTCTTTTTGGTGACCAGATGAATGCGTTTATTCCAATAACCCGCAAGTGTGACTTTGAATTGAAATTTTGAAGAGATTTTAGTTGCTCATCACTCTGTGTTCAGTAAAAGACTAGAATGCTTTCCTTAGTTTGAAGCCGACTTCTACTGAGGCGTTATCCTGCGTGAAACTTGCTCTTTTCTAAGTCCTGAGACATCAAGTATTTCCAAAGCCTTTGCCTAAATCAAATTAAAACATTGCCAAGCCGTGCGGTCTGAAATTGGTATTTTGTGAGTCTTAATAACAGCTAGTATCTCCAAACACCCTTAATTGGCTGATCAAAGAATTATAACTGCTTGCCAACAAAGTCGCGAGTTCAAGTTTATCAGCGAGGACGCTATAAATCCAACTGTTGAGAAAGTCGCGTAACTACACTGGTTTCTTCCTGACTGTGTGGGATTCGAAAACGTGACAAACGCAATATGTTCAACAGGTTTTATGAGGTGAGACGACCACTGCAAGAATTGACTAGCATTGTAAACAGCATCGATGCGAAACTATCAAGAGAAATGTATATCCATTTTACTGTACTGTTGTCAGCTACCTTTCCTATGATTTTCTCAATCGAAATCAACTTGCGAGTTCATTGTGATGGTCTGTATATGGGCAAGAAGAAAAGAAATTCTAGCGATAAGAAATTCTACCGATGTGGGCTGTTTTTTGGGGTGTTAATTTTCATGTCCGGTCGAATCGTTTCTCACTGGATGGTCTCTGACAGAGAAGACAGAGTACTTCGTCAATTTACACATGTCTTACATGTTATAATAGTGACTACTCCCTTACATTCGTACCCAAGACCTCTCGGCTATACAAATACAGTCAACGTTTCAACATGGCGTCGCGAAAGCTGGTCTTGTCGAAGAGCACCGTTAAACAGACAAACTGTTTGAAAAATTGGAAAACCAAACACCGTTTCTGGGGAAATTTGTTCAAATGCGTGTGCAAGCAAGGTCTACAGAACAGGGAGGACTTGGCAATCCTTTACACACTATTAGTTCGAAGGTACGTGCGACTTTCTACACGAAGCCGCCTAAAACTGGTCAGTTTGCCTCGGTCGTTTTATTGATATACATACGCCGTTCTGTGCAGTGGGTTCTCGTAAAATTGTTTCATATTTTAACTCGTCAGCATTTGAGAAACCATAAACATCTATTGACGTTGCTTTAAAAATTTCACCATTGAAACATTCAACCCGCGATACGTAAACCCTTTAAGAGAGTTAGCTTTGAAAGGGTTTCTCGGAAAGCTTCTTCAAGTTCGAAGCTAATCACAACTCAGTCACGTTTTTATCGCAGCTGCTAATTCTACTTCAGTGTTTGAGTTTATATAAAGACTGTTCGGATACAGGATTACATTATTATGACTAGTTAATGCCACTCTGACAACTGCTAAACGTGTTCTTCTGCATGAACTGCTCTTGTGCGTGGTCCCTTGTCGTGTCTTATTCAGAGGAAGTACGTTCTAAATATTTGCGATTAGTTATGTATCTAATTAAAAGTGCTGGTTGTCGTTGGAACTATTTGTTGAAGGGAACTTAAATTGAAATATCACACATTTTAGACTGAAAGCTGTGTTTTGCTTTGGTCGAATTTCTTCTCCACCACAGCTTGTAAATTTTTGCTATCATGGCAACCGTACGTCTTCATGCTCGCGAAATTTCTCGACATCAAAGGCCGTTATAGCCTATTTTTGAAATCGTGGTCAATTACTTGCCTTATTCCACTGGTGATAAAGAAAACATCCATTTATTGAGTCTACTTTCTTCAATTTACAAAAAAAAAAAAAAAGTGTGAATGATGCCATGTTCGTGACAGGATGAATAGCACAGTGTTTTAGTCATGTCCGAAAAGTGCTTGGATATTAAATTAGTCCACTTACAAACACGACAACGTGATGGTTGTCACGCTTTATATCAATCCTAAATATTTCTATCCGTGTAATACTTTACTTTACGGTGAAAGGGGGGACGCGAGAGACAAAGAGACGGAAAATGTGGGTTATGAAACAAAGTTCGTCAACTTCGTATAAACTAAGTCATGTCACCTCGCGCTCTAATCATGCGCATTCTCACACCGCGCGGATCACACGCGTGACTCGACCCCAGTCTGTCGGCTTCACGTTAGTCAGTGTCTTTCTATAAAGCCGTGAATCCATGGACCGTTCTTATCATTTGCTTGAGGACTCTGTCAGACTCAAACCTCATCCAATATTTTTTTCAAAGACTTCACCAGAAATCAGCATGTATGCTAAACTATTGTTGCGGAGAAACAACATGAAACGACCGAGTGAAAGGAGAAGAAGTTTCATTTTGAGGCCAAACCCGTGGTATCAAAGACGACTTTCAAATCGCACAGATCACTTCCTAGAACTTTTTCTTCGAGGTAGAACACCTGCTGGTACGTTAAAAACTTTTGTAGTGATTTTATTTGCTTCAACGTTTGTTAAAAGAGCAAGGTTACTTTTGATTCAGAACGTTTCGCGATTGAACCAAAAAAAAAGTGTCTAATTTTAACTCACAGACCGGCAAATCCTCCACTGGCAAAGACTTGGCTGAACTTGACGAACAACTATGAAAATCGAGAAGCCATTTACAAATACCTTCTTCACAGTATAATCTTTAAAACGGAGTCAATGACAAGCTTCAGCAAATTTATAGAAACTGTTTGCTTCGTAGATCACAAAACTCGAGAAGTTTTGGTTTTTATCTGGTGTCGTGACAACTTGCAAGCCTAAATATTGTCATTGGTTAAAACGTTATCAAAGGACCACCCGATGAAATTAGTTCTAAAGTGATGTATCTCCTTGATAAACACGATTTATTCAGTCAAAAAAGGTTGAGAACTGCGAGTTTCTAAAGGCTGTTGTCTGTTTTATCTGAATAAAAGCTTTTCAAAATTTGCACTCTCTCCGGCAGAAGGCCAGCTTTGTGGCTGTCATGACAAATTGCACGATCCGGAAAGAGGAACCCAAAACAATGAAAAGGAAAAGTCGAGGAAACAGTTATGCCTGTAACTAAGATCATTGAAAATTTTAAATTCTCTTTGCGTACGTTTATTTCAATATCAGACATTGTCCTCTGTACGGTTGTCGAACGTGTTTTGGTGACGTTGTGAGCCAGCCTTTTTACAGCAATAGATGACTTAGTGAAATCTGCCATTTTCAGATTTTCGGCTACGAAATTTGAACAAAATTGAACTGTATTTGGAGATGTCGCTGTCAGAAATTGAACGGTATGCGATGAAATAAAGTTTGGAACTTTACTTGACGGTTCTTTTTTTCTACTTTGGCGAATGAAGAATAACGTTTGAGAGGACTTGCAAACGCCATGGAGATACAACAGAAAATCTACAACCAAATGGACTGAAAATAGACTTCGGCACAACATTTTCAAAATAAAAAATAGAAATAAAAAAATTTCGGAACCACCAACGTCAAAGTCATTAGAAAAGTATTAAAGCGATCAAAGAGGAGAATTGGTGGTCAGTGGGTTTGAACTGGCGAATTAACAAGCGAAATTTCCTTATGAAACTGACGGACCTTCTGTTTTGCATTGGTGTTTGCGGATCGACCAGAACATCGCTGGTTACTTAAATTCTGAATTTCACCTCATCTGGCCAGATAAGGAGACCTCAATTAAACGAAGAACAACAACGTTTTTCTGGTCAATCTAATTTAATTGAAATAACTCAAATGCATTTGTCGCGGCAAGAAAACTGATTGATCAAAGACATGTTCAGTTGCATGACAGAGTTTTCTTCACGTGAAAGCAGGAGTGAAATATTTAGGAGCAGCTAGGGTCTCCAAATTATCTTCTGTGGGTGATGTTCACTCGTTTTCACTAAATAAATCGTCGGTCAAGAGTTCTTTTTCACGGAATGCAGTGCCCTCCTTGATGTGTGGTAGGTGTGAATTTAATTTGACCCAGCTTCGCGCAGCAGGATTTCTATTTCGAATTTGCTATCGAACTGTCAAACATCACGTATGGAAACAACGTTTGAAAATCTAGTCAAAGTGAAAACATTGTTTGAAAATCATTTCCGAAGCTTTTAAAAAGCTTCTCGTTTCTAACCGAGAACCTCTTTCATTAATGGGCCAATCATAGTGCAGCAATTAAATTGTTTATGTGTTCTTGAAAAACCTTTTGTTCAGAACTCTCGAATAAGTGTAATCAGGACACTAAAAACGTGTACAAACTACGTGATAAAATTTGAAGTCATAAATGAATTGAAAGGGCAGCTATTTTTGATTAAATGTCGATATTTAGGTCACGTATTTGTCAAAGGAGGGATCATGCACTGTGAAAGCAAAATTTTGAACATAAGCCGTTGGTGAAGCTAACGGGTGGTACGATATTTCGCTCCGTTTTTGCACCACGTGAAGATGTTTAGAAAGACCAAACAGCAACTGCGTCTTAGAATTGATCTTTGGACAGCAAATCTTGCCTTCTCCCACCAATCTGTCTTTATAAAAATCTTCTTGTTTTACGAACCATTGATTTTAATCGTCACATTCCCCTTCTTATTTTTAAAGTGGTGGACATTTAGCTCAAACCACCATAATATTTTTCCTTTGTTTCCTTTGCATTCATTTGAAAATGGTTAGTTCAATGCGATGTAAGGATAAATCTTGAATTTATTAGGCGAGCATTCCTTTGGCGAAAATCATTTTGGCGGCTCATCGATGCAGCACGTCCGGGAAGATACAGTGAAACACCTGAATAAGCCAGAACTTATTAGATTGTCGAATTTCCGGGATATCGTCCGCGCGACAGATTTCCTCTCGTTCACTTCGCGTTATGCGGCCAAAAAAATTTTTTACTTCCAAATACTTTCTCGTATTTTTGCTCTCTGAGAACAACACAACATCAAGCTATTTTTGGAACAAACCTTGTTTAATTTTAGAAAGTTGGGTTGCAGTGCCCTTGGCATTTCTATTTTCTGATGTCGCCCTTGTTAAAATTTACATACACCATCAGTACAATGTCACGGTGTTTGTTGTTTGGTTTTGTCTCAAGGGCTGATAAATGTGCTTTGAAGTGTAGGTCGTTCCTTTCGAGTTCTGTTGATTTTCCGAGAAAGAGAGTCATATTTGGGGGCAGAAGGCTTCAAAACATTACCATAACAATCAGGCTTCCTGCTTTCCTTATTGGCATGAAATTTATACCGCGAAGCGTGGGCGGGCGGTGATCACAAAGGCCGTCGACTTCTTGCCAAATTTCAGCTTCGCGCACTGTTCAACTGCTTCTTTTGCCCATTTAAATTGCTTCTATTAGTAAAGCAACCTGTTTGGAGACGTTTCTGAGCCAAAATTGAGGAAAATCAATGAAATATCATGGGTTTTTAGATAGCGTGACTTTTTGTGGATTGTTTACTTCTGACGTCAACATATTTTGTTCGAACGTGGCGGAAATTGAAATCAGTCACACGTACGAGCGAATTTCTGTTCTTTGACTATTGTGTTAAAACTAAAATTTTGCAAAACGGCATTTACGATTAAATTTTCCTGGTTTTAGGCCGTGTTTTTTGTTTTTATTTAACGTTATTTCCATCTTATTTTAATGGGAGTAATAACTGACCGGAAAAACGAATCGAAAAATCACGTTTTTTCGCCCAGGGTCTATTGTGGTCACGTGATACGAAGCGTACGTTTACACGTGATTTGTGTGTCACTGTCTAACTGGAGAGTGTGTTGTGGTTCTTTGATCAAATCTAATTCGTGGTCCATCTTTTTCCAGGCTCGTTTCTACGAATGTCCTGCGTGAAATCAAGTAGCAATAACATGTTGTGTGAATTGTGTAACGAGAAAGCGGCCATAACGTGCCAACATTGCAGAGTCGCCCAGTACTGTTGTGTTGAACACCGAAAGAGCGACTCGAAGTTACATCGGAAGAAATGTCTAGGACTGTCTACGATGGGACAGCAAGAACATTTTAGAGACTCTCGACCTAGGTTGAATGGTTACGAGGTAATGGACCTTCTTCAAATTTCTTACCACGATCAGGCAAAAGCTGTTGTTGAAACTTTAAAAAAACAGGGTTATTGTTATCTGGACGACTTTCATGGAGAAGATATAGCAAGAAAAATCCTAGGCGAAGTTAAGGAATTACATCACCGTCAACGATTCACTGATGGACAACTTGTTTCATCAAATGGGAATGGAAGTATGTTGAACAAGAAAATACGAGACGATAAAATAGCCTGGATTGATGGTAAAGAAGAAAATTGTGCGACCATTTCGTTTCACATGGCAAGAGTGAACGCGTTAGTTCGTGAATGTAATGGACTTATTGACGAGTACGACATCGAACACAGAACGAAGGTAAGGGTTTCTAATATTGAGGATAACAGTCGATATTTCCTTTTGTAAGTTTTATGCCTTCTGGTGGAAAAGCCGGGCAAAACAGAAGCAACGTAACATTGCATATTTCACTCGATTCGATATTAATTGATAACGCGTAACGAAAATGTATTTTAAGTCTTTTGGGTTTACACTCAGATATTTCTGGCTTGCATATAACTTAAGCTTTAATGACATAGAATGTGCCAGAATATTTGCAATAGCTTAGATGAATTACAGTTTCATAATCGTTTCGACACACTTTGCATCATGAGAACTATTTTTAAAGTTGAACGAAAGCTAGTACAGCAGGGAAGATAATTTTCTTGGTGTCAGTTCAGTTTCAAGTTTTTTTTTATTCTTAACATACGGCTTGTTTATAAGAACCGTTCATTGTTGTTTGAATTATGTACGGTAACGCAAGTTAGCTACGTGCGGCATCTCACGTACTCACATTCTCTTATGCGCGTGACCAATCTTGCATAACGCTGGACAAAACAACGAATTAAACTTTGAGTGTTTTCTGTAGTACTTTAGAGACTTGGCGACAGAATATTGCAGTCACAGACAGGAAATATTCGTTTTCCTCTGAGATCAGTTACCTTTGGCTGCTACAAAGGTCAAGGGTTTTATGCAGTTCACAAAGTGAACAGAATGGCTTTCTTCATGATCACAAACTTTTTGTTCCATCACAGCATATTGATATTTCCCTTGCATTTTTACCTAGTTCCATCACATATACATCGTTCCATGCATGCACATGTGAGAGTATAGTTTCAAGGCTTTTATTTTTCTCTCTTGTTGGACGACCATATTTCCTGTGATACAACATACATGTATGGTCTGTTTGGTTGATAAGTATACAGTGTATCATTGCAGTTGTCGTTTTGAGGCGACTTCCTTCAAGTTGCTATACATGTAGCATGCAGTAGCTTATCTGTCTGTCATTTGCTGTGCAAGATACAGTCACCATCTCTTTTCCTTGGCTTCAGCTGTGACCAACACCTTCTGAGAACACCTTCAAGTAAACTCAAGTGTAACTTTTATAAAGACTCAAAATTGAAGTGAGATAATTTCTATACAATATGTGGATTCATTGAGTACTATGAGGTTCATATTCTTTATCCACATGGAAATTCATTTCTAGTTTTTGTTTCAATTCCTGTATACATGTAACTGGGACATATTGACTGTACAGGAATTCGCAGTGCAGCTTTGTTTCTCTAGACTCATACAATTGTAGTCCTCGAACTCAATGGAGGCTGCATTTGTAACTTTGTAGGTGCCATTTACAGCATGCAACTTCTTATATAACTAGCTGTAGTCCAGAAATGGTTTGACACAATTTGCACCAAAATTGCCTACAACCTGGGAGGGGGGGACTGCTATTTTAAAAGGACGGGGGTGCTCGTTGTACCTTTTAGGGGTTAAATTTTGGTACCTCTTAGGGTGTTTGGCCTCAAAAGGTCCACAGTGGGAGCTTTTGTTAGTACCTTTTTAGGTATTGAACCGAAAAAATATGACAGAAGATCAAGTGTTCTTTTGGAATTGGTGCCACAGAGCGGTGAAAAAATTTCAAGCCATGCACACAAAGAAGGATCTCGGTACCTCTTAAGGGTTATTTTCAAACTTTATTATGAGCATCCTTGTCCCTTTCATATGGGAGTACTGCCGCAGCCTACATTAAAGAGCCCTAATATTGGCACGTCTCATTGTATGGTATTCTTTGTTGTAAGTATTGCACAATATGTGTTCAAGCGAGAGTTGTATGTACTTTTGGCAATGGCTGCGACACCCTTCACCTACAACAGGGTTGTTGGTCTCGGCAAGGTTTCCTGTATGTACAACTTGTTGCATAGGAGGGAACAAAATTCAAGATATCTTTATAACATAGATCATTTATTAGCGACAACACCTTGAGTCTTCGATATCATGATGAAATAATTGCTTGTGCACAAAAATAGGAAAAGATTTTCAGATGTTTAAAGCACATCTCATACATGTAATTACATAATACACCCTATATATGCATGATCGGAGGAACTTCATCAACACAGCAGATGTGAGAATTTATAGCTCCAGGGCGTAAACTATAGTTGAATCAGCATGTAAACCATGCATACCAATTTTTATAGCCATTTCAAGCCAGAAGCTTCATGTACTGAGACAAATTTTTTTTGCTGTGATGTTTACATGTACATGTACGTGTTTTGTTTTCTGTGCTAAACATTTTGTAGTGAGATGTTTTGTGAATTCTGGATGGTGTATATGTCTTGTCTTCTTTGTGACAATTATTCTGATGCCCAATGACCTTTGATCCATTCAACTTTAGTTCAGAAATTAATATTATCAGTCAAAAATATATGTAAAAACTATGTTTTCTGATTTTACTTCACCACTCTAATGTGCAATCTGAGTTTCACATAAATGTAAATATAAATTTGAAGAAATTTGCATTTGAGAATTTAATGTTGAGATGCATGCATTCTGCCTGGGTAACCTAATAACCCTTGATGTTGTTCTAGCAATGGGCGGCTGATTCTGTTATATAATCACCACTCTAGTCAAACAACCTCTATTTCAGATTTCAAAGGAGTATTTAACAGTTATGATTTAGTGATAAAATCAACATTCTTGCCACTACTCTTATATTGCATGTTTAAGTTGTTTTGGTTTTATCAAAAGGTTAACCTTGACTTCTTGTTTGAACTTGGAGAATATGTAAATGAGATCTAAGTGGATAAAGATACAAACGTGATAACGAAGGCTATTATATAAGCCAACACGTGAACAAGGCGGCCTTCAAAACATTCAGATGGGCATATAGTGAAGCTGAGATGTCCACAATAGGATGTTTTTTAGTTACTTACATGTACATGTAGTAAATTGTGTTCAGATAATGAGAAATCAAGATAGTAAAGATAGAGATTTTGCACAAGACCCCTTGACCAGTTTGTAGACAGTTATGAAAGATGGATGAATGGTGACTTTGTTATATTCTAGGATGAATTTATCCTTCATTTATTGTTATAATGATGTAGTGACAAAGAGTTTTTCCCAACATGTTTATATTCAAATTAAAATTAGTTCATGTTAAGCACTTTTTAGTAAAATAAAAATGTACTTTATATTCAAAGCAAAGTTTTAAACAGCAGCTCATTTGTTTCATGAGTTCTCTAGATCTGGCAAAAAGCCAGATACTAACTACATGTACCTGTACAATAATAGTGCTACATGTACAAGAATACCTGAAAGAGTATTAAAATGATCACAAATCAATGATTATCATGTGAAGTTTCATAGCAGTGGTGTTCCTGAATTACAGGGGAAAAACCCAGTGTAAAAAAGTTAGGATGAAACTGTTAAAAGGTACATTTGGAAGACTTTTTGCACTGTGGCACCTATCACGTCGATATCTGCACAGTGTTTTTACGCAAATTGGTCGATACACGTGAGAAGGACTACACAGTAGAAGCAGCTGCGTACCATTACTACTGCCATCTGATGAAGTAGTTGATTGATGTTTGACATCTTTTGACAGCTTTCAGATGGCTTTTGTTTGAACTGGCCAAACACAGTTCACAAACTTTGAGAGTCAGGCTTGTGAAGTTAAACTTTTGCTCTCCCTCAATTCGCAACTCTGCATCTCAGAATTTTCGCATTTTGATCACGTCTCTTCTAGTAAGAACCCAATAGTACATTAATTTCTTAGATGGCTGAACTGGTCTGCGATCAAAAGGAGACTTCTGATTGGTTCCGAGGTGGTCCAAATTTTGCAATATGGCCTGCTAAGATGGACTGCTAACAAATCAATTTCAACCAATTTTTTTCCCCAAATATTCATTGCACAAAATAAACAGTATTCTGTTTGGTAGAAATCTTTTTGTCTTTATGTTTAGAGGACAATTTCAGTGAAATGTTCACAAAACTGACACGAGAAATGTAAATCTCTTTCACACACGCATTCACTGAGCATGGATTGTGGAGATGAATCAATTTATCAGCAGATTTAAAGAGCCATTATGATAAATACTTGAAAGCGTGATGGGTCCTTAATGGAGAATTATTGGTTGAGTTCCTTTTTGCAGGTTCATGGTCGAAAAACTTGTGAAAAAAAAAAGAACAAGACCAATGTTCTCCAATACGGACCTCACGCTAGGTCAATAACGTACATGTATGTATTGGTAACGACCCTTTTAGCTGAGTCCTACATTAATGAATCAGCCATAAGGCTGTGCTTCCTCCTCCCAGTTCTTAATCTAGTCATGTCTAATGTACAGGTACAGTATCTACATGTACTGTATATAGAATTATGTTCAAACTAAAGATTTGATTCTGTTTTTCCTTGTTGTAAACAGGCAATGGTTGCATGCTATCCTGGTCAAGGCACTGGATATAAGAGACATGTAGATAATCCTAATCAAGATGGACGATGCATAACAACGCTTTACTACTTGAATCCAGGCTGGACAGAGGAGGTCAGAACATTTATTTATTTCTCCTTTAATCTCATTTTCTTTCGACAACAACAAGCAACTTACATGTAGTGTACATTCATCAGGGCGTCTTAATTCTGTGTGACAGCAGAAGCTT